CAAATTGCATGAAAGAACTCACAAAAGTTTCTTGTTTGCTTGCAAGATTTTATTGTCGCCTAGTACATTTGTCTTGAAAAGCAATATTTTCAAAACCGGACCGGACAATGAACCGGACAAGTAACTGGGTCATGGTTGGACCGGTCCAACCGAGGTCCGACCGGGTTTTTGTATTTTTTATTTTTAATTATTTATATATAATTTTTATAATAACTATTATGCAAAAATATAGAAAAAATTACCTATCTTTCACATATATTCAAACAGTGACTTGATAATTCTATTTCATTTACCATATATGCCTTTATAAATAATAATTGTTTTATATATTAATAAAAGTTAAGTAAATAAATAACAAATAAAATAAAAAAATACAATAACACTTCTATCCAGTTACTAAAATATACCCTAACGACCTAATATTGGTTTGTGAGTACTACCTCACTTTCAATTACCGCCGCCAGCCACGTTTGTACAATTTTTTTTCTTTTCTTTTTTCTCTTTCTTTCTTTCTCAAATGCTCCCCCCACCACGATATCTAATAACCCGAATTAATCATCCACGAGAGCTCCTTCAACAATACAAACATCGAAGAGAGGTATAAAGATTTTCAATTTCTTCTCAAATTTTTTTTTTTTTTTTTTTTGCACAGACCGGTTTTTAGGACCGGTTTTCACCGGTTTTCTTCGGTTCAACCGGGATTTCCACGGTTCTCGGACCATTGACCCGGGTTTTATGACTTTTCGGGTATTTAAGTTCAACCGGACCGGACTACCTGCCGGTTCGCGGTTGAACCGGTCGAACCGGCCGGTCCGGTCCGGTTTTCAAAACATTGTTGAAAAGGATGAGTGTAGTAGGTATAGCCAAATTAAATTAAGGGTATAATACGGCCAAAGGTTAAATTACAAAAAAATCTCTCTTATTTGAGTAATTATACAACTATTTGTTAACTATGAATCTTCTTAATTACACATTTAATTTTACGGTGTCAAATTTAGTGGAATCTTCTAAATTATGTGAAATATATATTCTCCAGTTTGTATCCGTTTTACCCCATTCGAGCTCCACATTTTGAAACAAGATGATCATAAAATGTGTCTCTTGATTTGT